TTTCAGTGGCAGCAGCTGAATCTGGAGCCAGTTCCGACTTACATACAAGTTCAACTTATGAACAAACCTATAGTCCCTATCTTGTATGTAACCCGGGGACTGCCTGTATTGGGATAATCAACTGTTGTATAGGATCTTGGTACATTGCTTTGAGACTAAGTGGGGAAGTCCAGTATCTCTTATCCAAAGGCTACTTCATCCCAAATCATTGTCTTCTGTTTATTTTTTAATCTATTAAGCCCCAAAGTGTTCAACTTATGAACAAACCTATAGTCCCTATCTTGTATGTAACCCGGGGACTGCCTGTATTGGGATAATCAACTGTTGTATAGGATCTTGGTACATTGCTTTGAGACTAAGTGGGGAAGTCCAGTATCTCTTATCCAAAGGCTACTTCATCCCAAATCATTGTCTTCTGTTTATTTTTTAATCTATTAAGCCCCAAAGTGATATACAAAATACAGAAAATGTCCCCAAAAGAGCTGCTACATAGTGTTCTCTCAAGTAACCTTTAATTACACTCTGAAGTGGTTTCCTTTTCAGATACATTGAGAGATCCTCTGTCCCCTCTGAGCACACAGTTCAAAAATAATATTTAACAGGCCATTTACACAGAATATCAAAACTCACTTGATATTCTGTACCATTATTTTTTCCATTTTGTTTCCTCGAGCAGTGTCTCTCAACCAGTGGTACAAGTACTCTTAGGGGTACTTGTGTTGATGTACCCCCCCCCCCCAAACTTCACTCAAGTGAAGTTTGGAAAAAAACTGAATTCGCTTTATTATGTTTGTACTTAACACCCAAAAATTCCATCAACTGCTCAGCTACAATTAAGTTGTTTAAACAAATGTGTTACAGTGGCAGAAACAAATTTGTGTGTCTGAAAACTGTAGGTGTTGGGGGTACTTTTTTTTTTTTTTTTTTTTTTAAAGGGGTGTCATAGGGCAGACTTACCACCATAGCACCTCCAGCCGGCTGTCCTGGGAATTAGCTTGTTTCACTCGCTGGATGCCTCCCTCTAGCTGGTGTCTCCCCACATTTCTTTTTGTCTACAACATCCTCTTCAGGACACTGCCCACTTCCAGGGGATTGTGTGTGTTGTTTACTCCACTGCACACTCCAGGGTCCTCCCCTCCCCAGGGGCTCCCAGTTCTTCTCCCAGGGAACACCCAGTTCCCCTGTACTCACCTTGCCTCAGTGACCAACTGTCAGTCTTCATCTAGCCCTGGCCTCAGGGGCAAACTGCATGGCCATTCATCACTAGCAAAGGGGTGTGGACATGCTGCCCCTACCTACCACTAGCAGCCCCAGTAGCTTCAGGCCTTGCTTTAGGCCCTGCAGCCTGGAAGCTTGCATGGCCAGAGCTTCCCCAGACCTGCATTCCTTCCCTAGCACTGCTCTAGCTCCAGGAAGCCTCCCACTTCTCTGACAGTCAGGTCCCTACTGCTCTCTTTCTCCAGAGCAGCAACAGCCAAGTTTTTCTCTGCTAGGAGGCCTTCTTTATATAGCCCCCAGCTGCATCCTCATTAGCATGAACTGCCTCTGCTGGGTTGCTCTCACTCAGGGCTGGGGTTTTTCCCTTAAAGGGCCATTGCAGGGCAAATGCCCTATCACAGGGTCCTTTATAAAAAAAGGTTGAGAAACACTGTCCTCGAGTACCAGAAATATAGCAAGTCTATGGATGCACTTCTTTTATAGACCTGGCAGGCCTAATGCCAGTGTTGGAGCTGAGGGTGACATTGCATCTCTCACAGCCATTCAGTATACATTATTGCTCCTGCTCTCCTTTGCCCCTTCTATTTATCAGGCTTTGTCTACACTAAGGCTACGTCTACACTGGCGCGTTCTCACGCAAAAACTCTTTTGCAGAAAAGTTCTGCAAAAACTCTTCCAGAAGAGAGCGTCTACACTGGCATGTGCTTTTGCTCAAGAGATTTGCTTTTGCGCAAGACCATCCATACCAGTGTAGACGCTCTTTTGCGCAAGAAAGCTCTGATGGTCATTTTAACCATAGGGCTTTCTTGTGCAAGAAATTCATGTTGCCTGTCTACACTGGCCTCTTCTGGAAGAGCTCTTGTGCAAGAGGGCTTATTCCTGAGTGGGAGCGTCAGAGTTCTCACACAAGAAGCCCTGATATTATACATTAGAATGTCAGTTTACTTTCACAAGAACGCACGGCCAGTGTAAACAGGTAGCAAATTTTTGTGCAAGAGCAGCCACTTTTGTGTGAGATTGCTCCAGTGTAGACACAGCCTAAGAGATTAGGTCAAATTTAAGGTTGATTTTTTAGCTTCCAGTTTTGTAAAGTCAAAGTTGGATGTCCTCATTGTGCACATGAGGTGGGCATAACATTACCAGTGATACGCAAGGTGTATCAGAAACTGTCACTCATGCCAGTAGCTTCAGGGAGCAGCTGAGTTAGTCTGTACAGGATAAACTTAAAAAACAACAAAAGATCTGGTCGTACTTTATAGACTAACAAAACAGAATCATACAGCTGGAAGAGACCTCAGGAGGTCATCAAGTCCAGCCCTCTGCCCAAGGCAGGACCAATCCCAACTAAATCAACCCAGCCAGGGCTTTGTCAAGCCAAGACTTAAAAACCTATAAGGGATGAAGATTCCACCACCTCCCTAAGTAACCCATTCCAGTGCTTCACCACCCTCCTAGGCTATGTCTACACTGGCAGCTTCTTGCGCAAGAACTCTTCCAGAAGAGAGCATCTACACTGGCATGTGCTTTTGTGCAAGAGCATCCATGACAGTGTAGACACTCTCTTCCGCAAGAAAGCTCTGATGGCCATTTTAACCATCGGGCTTTCTTGCGCAAGAAATTCATGTTGCCTGGCTACACTGGCCTCTTGTGCAAGAACAGAATAAGAGGGCTTATTCCTGAGCGGGAGCATCATAGTTCTTGCTCAAGAAGCCCTGATTTTATACAGTAGAACGTCAGTTTACTTGTGCAAGAACACACGGCCTGTGTAGACAGGCAGCAAGTTTTTGCGCAAGAGCGGCCGCCAATGTAGACACAGCCCTAGTGAAATAGTTTTTCCTAATATCCAGCCTAGACCTAGATGTAGATGGTATCATGAGCTTTTGTGGGCACAGCCTAGGTTGTAACAAGTAAAATGTGCTGACTGGTTCAGTTGTTCCACAGGAGGATTTGTTTTATAAACCTATTAGTGGTATCTTTATAATGTGTTAACAGTTACCATAGGCACACTATTTTTTTAAAAAAAATAAAATGTCTTCCTTGCTTTCTTTGGTGAATTACCAACTGCTTTATTCTGCAAAGCAGTATTTTTGAAAGCCACTGACTGCTGTTCTCTAGTTGTTTCCTTTCTAATTTCTAAGCGAATGAATGGCTGAGATCTCAGTGTGAGACTTGCACAAAGGTGGGTTTAGATTCCTGAGGTCAAGAAATCAAATGTAAGCACTGATACAGCAAGACTGTCATTAATGTGCTGCTACAGAAACTCTCTAGGCAATTAAGGGAACAAAGAGTGAGAGAACAGGAGGAAACATTAGCTGAGGCAGTTCTATCCAATAATGTCCCCATTAAATATAAACAGACCTATTATGAGATGCATAGATATCAGTGAGGAAAAGAAAATCCATTCCTCAGGTTGTATCTTTAATCCTGGTATGTCCATCTCCTCTCCCCAGCCACATGGTGTTCCCTGTTATGAGTCCTCCAGTTGCACAGAGATCCTGAGACTTTGTGAAGATACAAATGTCTGGAGCAGGGATGTAGAACCTGTTTTCAGTCTGAGGTCATTGACCCATAGAAAAAAATCAGTCTGGGCCACACACACGAAAAGAGAGAGAGAGAGAGAGAGAGAGAGACCTCGCTCACACTCACCACTGGTCCATTGGGGCCAAGGGCTTCCTCCAGCTGCTGGATGAACAGGTGCTCATGCTCCAGCTCTGGGGGAGGGGGATTGTGCCAAGGCTCAGAGACTTGCCTGCAGGCTGTAGGTTCCCCACCTCTTGTCTAAAGATACTAATTAATAGTCTAGCAAAGCTAACCTGTTGGACCTGGAAACTGACTCTCTGGGCTCCTGTTTCAGGATCATCACAAACCTAGCAAGCGTTAGTAAAGCTGGAATGTGTCATAATTCAATATCAGGACTGAGCACTTCCTCTTTTGCTTCCTTTTTCCTTTTCTTCTTGTCCAGCTTGTACTTGAGGCAGCGGATGGGATCCATGATGCTCCTCTTGGCCAAGTTATCAAAATCCTCTGCCAAGAGAAAGCTCCTGTCAATCAGCTCAGCGGCTTCCTTCCAGTTTCCAAAACAGGCAGTTCCTAAGCACCTGATCTCTTCCACAGCATTCCCAGAAATCACCTCTCCATTCGGTTTCAGCACCACCACTGCAGGCGTGTGGGACACAGCAAACCTCAACTCCAGCTCCCTAAAAACCAACAAGGGAAGAAAACTTAAATCACAAAGTCCAGAGCTCCACAGGGAAGGCACTGAAGCATAGAATCACAGAACACTAGAACTGAAAGGGACTTCGAAAGGTCATTGAGTCCAGTCCCCTGCCCTCACGGCAGGACCCAGTACTGTCTACCCAGTACCCGTAGCCCATTTGTTTGCGTCCCGTGGTGCAGTTTGGGTTTATGAGGGGCTCAAAACACAGCTCATGGGTGGGATCCTTTGAACATGGTCTCCACTGGGATCATGCTCCACAAAGGCGAGGCATCTCTCAGGCAGGGTGAGCACTGAAAGATGCAAGCAGATGGGCTGGCTGGAACACATGGGTGTCAGCGTTTCTAGCTCTCAGGGAGGAAGTACTGGACGTCTCTTCTGCAAAAGTTTATGCAAATGAAACACGGATTAGCATATTGCTGCACTTCATTTGCATAACTAATTAGGGGCCATTTTTGCGCAAAAGCCACGTGCGCAAAAATGTCCCCTAATTAATTATGCAAACGAAGTGCAGCAATATGCTAATCTGCACTTCATTAGCATAAGCTTTTGCGGAAGAGAGATGCAGTGTAGACGTAGCCCTCCTTGTGATACCCTTTTAGATGCCAGAAAACTGCTATCATGTCCCCTCTCAGTTGTCTCCTTTCCAAACTAAACAAGTCCAATTCTGTCAGTCTTCCTTCATAGGTCATGTTCTCTAGATGTTTAATCATTCTTGTTGCTCTTCCCTGGACCCTCTCCAATTGCTCCACATCTTGCTTGAAAGGTGGTGCCCACAACTGTACACAATACTCCAACTGAGGCCTGATTAGTGCAGAGTAGAATGGAAGAATAACTTCTTGTGTCTTGCTCACAACACTTCCGTTAATGCATCCCAGAATCATGTTTGCCTTTTTTGCAACAGCATCACACTGTTTACTCACATTTAGCTTGTGGTCCACTATGAGCTCTAGATCCCTTTCTGCATACTCCTTCCTAGACAGTCACTTCCCATTCTGTACGTGTGAAACAGATTGTTCCTTCCTAATTGGAGTACTTCGCATTTGTCCTTATTGAACTTCATCCTGTTTACTTCAGACCATTTCTCCAGTTTGTCCAGATCATTTTGAATTACGACCCTATCCTTCAAAGCAGTGGCAACCCCTCCCAGCTTGGTATCATCTGCAAACTTAATAAGCATCTTCTCTATGCCAATATCTAAATAGTTGATGAAGATATTGAACAGAACCGGTTCCAAAACAGACCCCTGCAGAACCCCCCTTGTTATGTCCTTTCAGCATGATTGTGAACTGTTAATAATTACTCTGAGAATGTATCAGAGGGATAGCTGTGTTAGTCAGAATCTGCCTAAACAACTAGAAGTCCTGTGGCACCTTATAGTCAGGAATGATGTGGCCCACTTCTAGCAGCTGATGTGGAGTGCCTCTGGAATTTCCACCACATGCATCTGACAAAGTGGATCTTTGCCCATGAAAGCTTATGCTCCAATAAATCTGTTAGTCTATAAGGTGCCACAAGACTTCTCGTTGTCTCTGAGAATGGTTCTCCAGCCAGTTATGCACCCACCTTATAGTAGCCCCATCTAAGTTGTATTTGCCTAGTTTATTGTTAAGAAGGTCATGCGAGACCATATCAAATGCCTTACTAAAGTCTAGGTATACCACATCCACCGCTTCTCCCTTATCCACAAGACTCATTATCTTATCAAAGAAAGCTATCAGCTTTGGTTTGACATGATTTGTTCTTTACAAATCCATGCTGGCTGTTACCTATCACCTTATTATCTTCCAGGTGTTTGCAGATGAATTCCTTAATTACTTGCTCCATATCCATCCTGGCACAGAAGTTAAACTGACTGGTTGTAGTTTCCTGGGTTGTTCTTATTTCCCTTTTTATAGATGAGCACTATATTTGCCTTTTCCCAGTCTTCTGGAATCTCTCCTGTCTTCAATGATTTTTCAAAGATGCTAGCTAAAGGCTCAGATACCTCCTCTATCAGCTCCTTGAGTATTGTAGGATGCATTTCATCAGGCCCTGGTAACTTGCAGACATCTAACTTTCTAAGTGATTTTAACTTGTTCTTTTTTTATTTTATCTTTTAAACCTACCCCATTCCTACTAGGATTCACTATGCTAGGCATTCATTCATCATCAGACTTCTTGGTGAAGACCAAAACAAAGAAGTCATTAAGCACCTCTGGCATTTCCAAGTTTCCTGTTACTGTTTCTGTCTCCCCACTGAGCAATGGGCCTACCCTGTGCTTGGTCTTCCTCCTGCTTCTAATATATGGAAGATATACTGAGGGAAGATGGTCTACCACGTCTATTTGGAAAAGTGATGGGAATATCCATGTTGCTGCTGCCCCTACTCTTAGGCTACGTCTACACTGGCATGATTTTCTGGAAATGCTTTTAACGGAAAAGTGCGTCTAGATTGGCAGGACGCTTTTCCAGAAAAGCACTTTTTCCGGAAAAGCGTCCATTGCCAATCTAGACGCGCTTTTCCGCAAAAAAGCCCCAATCGTCATTTTTGCGATTGGGGCTTTTTTGCGGAAAACACTACTGTGCTGTCTACACTGGCCCTTTTCCGGAACAGTTTTCCGGAAAAAGACTTTTGCCCGAACGGGAGCAGCATAGTTTTCCGGAAAAGCACTGATGATTTTACATTAGATCGTCAGTGCTTTTCCGGAAATTCAAGCGGCCAGTGTAGACAGCTGGCAAGTTTTTCCAGAAAAGCGGCTGATTTTCCGGAATAACTTGCCAGTGTAGACACAGCCTTACTGTTTTGTAGGTGAGTTTCCAAACCTCCATTGTAGGTGGTTAATTGCATGATGAATATCTTCTCTGTGAAAGAAAACACTCTGAGGCAACATGGGAGCAGTGCAAGGACTGGAAGTT